GTGGACGATGAGGGCTGGCAGAGCGGCGACCCATGGCCTGCTCTTCGTCAACATGAGCGACGTCCTCCAGCAGGTGGCGGGGCACCGTCATTCAGGTACTTTTTGGATGTTGCGGAGTCGGACAACGACGAGGAGGGTCCGTGGCGTCACGATGGACGTCAGCGGACTGTGGGCAATACGGGAGGGCGGCAGGGAGGTCTCGGTGACCGGCGCGGGGGCATGCGTCCGATAGAAGGGGGCGATGCGTCGCGTTGGGAATCGGGGTTCCGTGTCGACATCCTCGAGTTCAATAGTGGTGTTGATGGGTCCGATTTCGTTGATTGGTGGGCTTCGGTGGAAGCGGTTCTTAAATTCAAAGGTGTGCCGGATGACCGACGGGTTGCGTTGGTGGCCACTGGTTTTCGAGGTCGAGCGGCTACGTGGTGGATGCAATTAACGAGTATGCGGCATCGTCAAGGGAGGTCGGAAATCACGTCATTGGTGAAATTTCGCAAACTTGTAGAACGTGAGTTTGTCCCCTTTAACTATGATAGTATTGTGTATCAACAACTTCACAACTTGCGTCAAGGGGCCCGGTCAATGAATGATTACACGACGGAGTTCTATAATTTAATCTCTCGAGTCGAACTCCGTGAGACAAAGAGTGAGATTTTGAGTTTATATTAAAATAATATTTAATATAAATAAAATTGAGTTAATGTAAAAGTAGGAGAGAGATAATACGGAGTGATAATTAGTTAAAATTATAATAATTAATTAATAGTGAATTAAAATTGATGTTACGTGTAAGAATGATTAAATAGTATTTAATTATATTGATAATATTGAGAATAACGAGTTAAGTTAAAGTTGATGAGTTAAAATTAAGTTAAAAAATGTGATGGGTTAAAAATGATTGAATTTTCTTTGTTGGAAAAACTTATGTCCAAGCATCCCCTAAGTTGCTCATGTTGTAACACAAATTCAGTGATTAACCACCATATATTTTGCCAAAGTCAAGTAAGGGTGAACTGTTTTAAGAACACAAATTTAAGGCAAAACTTCATTTTTGGTCCTATAACTTGGCCATAGTCCAAAAAACCACCCCTATATTGTCCACTTTTAATTTAGGTCCTATAATTTGTCAATTTAATCATTTATGGTCTTTTTTTATCCCAACCAAGGATAAAATTTTGACGTGGCATTTTTTTATCCGATGTGGCGTGATTGTTGGTTTTACGTGGCAGGATACGAAAAGGCGCGAAATGAATCAGATTTACCCCCCAAAAGTGCAACTTAATCGACATTTCCCAATTTCTCTCTCAAAACCCTAACATTTTCTAC